ATTTAATAGTTAATGGTTAATCTCTTACTATGCTTAACTTACAATTAAGCTTTTAACATAGGTGTGTATGCAGAGAAACAAATTAGTACACAGGGTTTGGTGCTATTTGTCATTTCAGGAATTGACTGGGGATCTTAGTGCATATTCCCCTGCAGATAATTATCTGTTAAAAACTTGAGTGAAATGATCTTCTTGTTATACTGGATGGGGAAGGGATATTCAACTGGGAAGTCACATCAAGCATGAATGATTTTCTTGAAATTATGTCACCCATATTGGGACAGCAGTCACTGAGATTTATAGTCACAAACCTCACAAAATACTTCAGGATATCTTGGATGCTTTGGGTAGAACTGAGCCTAGAGACAAATGGCTTTTTATTATTGCTTCCAGATCCATTATTTCCATCTTTTAAAGTTAGTATTTACTCTTTACTAATGAATAATTGTATGGATCCTCAGCTGAAGAATGATCCCTATTTGGAATTTTTAATATTCCTGAAATGTGCATGTGGAACTGGGACATGTAACTAATTCAAGGCAGTCAAATCAAGTCCAGTGAACAGTACAGTGACAGGAGGTCTTCCAACCCTGAAGTCATACAATTTCATTTCAGCCCCTAAGGGAGGTCGATTTGGAGGTTTTTGCCCTCTAGGAGAGTTAGTCTGTTCTCCTAGCACCATAATCAACATAAGGCTAATAGTATGAAGTGGCCGGAACAGAGCCCAGAACACAGAAGACACTGGTAAGTGATATCCAATTATATTATTTATTCACTTTCAAAGAATCTGGAAGCTGGCAGCCTCCCAGAGAAAGCTTCATGTACCCTGCCCCAGGAATTTGTTCACAGATCATTGGATTATAAACCCCATGAGGGCGAGGATCTAACTGTGTTATCTCCAGGCCTAGCAGAATGTCTGATACATAGTAGGTGCTCAATAAATTCAGAGGCAGTCATTGAATGGTCACTGCTGTAAGCTTCCGAGAATTTCAGAAAGAAAATGGTTGGAAAGGAGCATTTTCAGAAGGAAAAGCATGCAGATGAGGACATTCTCTTTTAGATGAATCTCACTGATCTTTTACTAGCAAAATAAGAAAAATGGACCTTTTTTCCCCCAAAAGTTTGAAAAAATGAGGCTCAGATTTTTGAAGTGGCAAGTAATATGAATTCATGTTTTACTAAAATGACAACATTCTCTGTCATCACATGCCCTGAGAGGAGCTCACTGTTCAGCAGGGTGGCATTTCAGGGATGGCAAATAAAAAGACCAAAGAGTTTGGCTTTAATAAAATTGTAGGTTAGGTTATGATTTTACAATCTGTCTTTCACTGCTGATTTTCTGTGTAGTCAACACCAGGCTAGGTGATTTTTATAATTCCCATGCAAATGAAATATCAGTCACCTTTTACTCATTTCATGAGGAATTTCATGGGTAGTTAATTATCCAGTGTCTCAAAATAGATATACGGAAAGGGTAGTATGTTTGACACTCCCTGCCCCTACCGCGCAAAATGCTTTAATGAGCTGTAATTCTCATAGCACAACATTTACTAAAGTGCACAGCCAGGCACGGTTGTACGTGCCTATAATCACGGCAACTTGGGAGGCTGAGGCAGGAGGATCACCAAGTTCGAGACCAGACTCAGTAACTTAGTGAGACCCAGTGCAACTTAGTGAGATCCTGTCTCAAAATAAAAAAAATGGCTGGAGGTGTGGCTCAGGGGTTAATCAGCCCTGGGTTCAATTTCTGGTACTTAAAAAAAAAAAGGCATCAACAGATCCTCATAATGACAACTTTGCATATCGCAGGATCTGGAATCTAGCTTCTGAATCATGAGAGTTCAATTATGTTCAGTGAAAAGTTATATAGTACATCGGCGATCCAATTTACAAGGTTCTTTTAAAATTGACCGTTTGGCATTCAGAAGGTTTTTTTGTTTTTGTTTTTGTTTTTGTATATAAGCACTACTCACCATGGTGGAGGTAGTTAGTTGCCTCTCTAATGCCTCTTTTTCCTTCTTCCTCACTGACAGATGAGTTTTTATTCTGGGTGGCAATGTCCCCACTAAAGAACTACTAGTGGCATTTCTCTATTTTCAGTGTCAATGGATACAGATGAACAAGGCTCCCAGGAAAGGTCCTTCAGTGGACTGACTGAACTGGCAGAAGAGCCTTTGGCCTTTCTTTTTCCCCCTTTGGATCTTAACCAGACTTGACATCTACAGCTCTGATATCAATATTGGATCTTAAGTTGAATTTAAGGATGGAAACTGCCTGTTGAGTATCGAGCAGAGACAGGAGCTGGGTGCTTACACCAACTACAGACCATCTCCCACCTTCACATGAGATAAAAACAAACCTCTTTGATGTTACTTGGTTTTCCTGCTATATACAGTTGTAGCCTAATTGTAATGTATACTTTTCTGGTCAGCTCAAATGGACCTAGATGAATACTGAGCACCTATAGTGGGTACCAGTCACTGTTTTGAGGGATGGATCTGCAAGGGAAGAGGATTGAATACTAAAGAGGCTATTCGGTGAAAAGGAAAGCATCTGGGGCAGAGCACTATCAGACAGAAATGACCATGATGCACAATTGCAATCCCACCAGAACATGGGGAGTTTCCACAGGGACACTGACAGCATCATTCAGCTCTCAGCCACGGGAGCCAGCCAGTCTTCCTGCCATCTTCCTGCCATCCTGTAGGACCCAAGTTACTGGTGGGAAGTCCTAGCACATAGCAGGACATCTGCTGCATCTATGTTGTACCCTTTAAGAAAGAATTGAGTAGCAGGTGGACAGATTCAGAGGGTTAAGACTCACGGGCTAAAGAGGGAAGAGGGCACAATGGTTGGGACAGGAAGGCTGGGCAGCCCTTCTTGTGCCAACCCTATTGTCCTCCTTCATTCCTCCTGCTCTCCAGGGGGA